GGCCAGTAATTCCACCTAACCCTTTTGAACCCTTCCTAAAAATGGCCTATTCTCTCTCCTGTTTTACAATTGACAATTTTGAACCATAGGGTTGTGTTGAGGGCACCTGGGAGGACACCAATTTGTGGTGGCCGGCCATTAATCTCACCTGACCTTTTTGACCCTTGGCCGGCCGGCCATGGGAGGTGGCCGACCGGCCACCTGCAGCTCCAAAAACTAGCCGACCATTATCCTTGCAATGTGTACATTACAGTTGTACACTTTTTTCCCCCCAAAAACCTGTATCCGGGGGGACAACTTTTGGGGGGAAACTTGGCTTGTTTTCCCCCCACTTTTTCCCTCATTTTCTCCCCCTCTTTGGTCCATATACTGGGCTGGCCAGCTCTGTCCAAAGGGTTAGAAAATTTCCCTTCAAGCCCTTTGTATTATATCTCTCTCCCTCTCCATCTCCATCTCCAAGCTTCCATTCTTCAAATCCTACACCATTTTACACTACACCACCAAGCCCTACCCTTCCATCCTCCACTCCAGCAGTTTGAGGGTGTTCTCCAGAGCTTAGGGGTGCTGCAAATTCAAGCCAAGAGTTGCTAAAGACTTGTCTTCAAGGATAAGTTCTATTTCCCCTCTTTTGAGCTTATTTTTGTATCATTTCTTAGCCATACATGCTTACTGTTTTGAGCTCCGGCCCTAACTGAAAGTGGCATTTTTTTGAGCTCCTTTTCACTTTTTCTTAAGGGCCTTTCACTGTTTAAGGCCCCCTTGATGCACTTGCTTCATTATCCTTCTTAAATGCCATTATCTTGCATAGTATTTTTAGCCTATGTGTGATCTGTTTTGGAGCATGATGTAAACTGTAGATAGGCTTATTTTGAGCCCTTATTCAACATTAAAGAGGGCTCATCACTGTTTGGGACCTCCATGTGCCACTTGTCATTATACCCCTCTTTGGTCCCCATTTTTGCACGATTTGGCAGCCCATTGTGCTTCTGTTTTTGGGTTCTTTTCAAAACTGAAAATAGTCTTATTTTGGCCCATTCTTCATGTTTCATTAAGGGCCTTTTACGGTTTGAGGCATCTTTTATACACTTCATGTTATATCTCTCTTTTGGGCCTCATTTTGCATAGCATTTTGGACATGTTTGCATACTGTTTTTGGTCCAGCCATCAACTGTAAAATGCATTATTTTTGGCCCCTTTTCAACATTGTTGAAGGGCCCCTTTGTGTTTAAGGTCAGCAACCACCACTTGCTTCTTTGTCCATCTTTTGGCCCATTTATTGCATGAGAGCTTAGCCATACCTGTGATGGTTTTTGTGGTTTGCCATAAACTGTAAAAGATCACATTTTGGGCCCCTCTTCAACTTTGTTGAAGGGCCCTAATCTGTTTGAGGTCAGAAGCTGTGAGTTGCTTCTTTATCTCACATTTAGGGTCATTTTTGCATGCTAGTTTTTTCCTACTTGTGCTTACTGTTTGGCCAGGCTTTGAACTGTAAAAATGCTTATTTTGGGGCTGCCTTGCTTCTGTCTTTTCATTCCATGTACCAATTATGCATGCTTTGTATAGCTGTAAGCCATTTCATGTACATAGTTTTGCATTTCGGGAGAAATTCCATGCATCGGGTGTCATTTCGCCTTGTTTCGGGGCTGTTTTGCCCCTCATTTTGCTACTGATTTTTGCATGTTTGCATGTCATATTCCATGTCTTTGCCATGTCTCATTAGAGTGGCATTTCGGTGCCTGAGGGTCGGTCCTCGGTTTGCGTGCTCGCGTGCACGCATTTCAAGTTGTCTTGTTTTCACCTGATGGCCTCCTATGTGAGTGTGGCTGAGGCTCTCTCATGTTGGTGTAAGCCCATTATTGCATTGCGTATGCCATTTCATCAATAGCATTGTGTATGCTTGGTTATGTATTACCTCGTGCAGCGTGTATGCCATTCCATAACATTGTGTATGTTAGGATTGTATCTTAGTTGCATTTCATGCATGTCATGCATATTGCATCGTGTTCGGGATAGGAGTTAGCCCGGGCATGGGAAACGAGGTGCATTTCGTACTCCGAGTGACGGAACGTGTCTCAATTCCCCAGTCACCGACACTCCGGATTATCCATGATGGAGTTGGGTTTGGTTGTGTTTATGTGTGCATTCATTTCATATTGAGTTGTGCAATTCGACCCCTCGGCCATTATGCATCGATATGCATGATTGGTGGCACGAGGATCGAGGCATGCATACATTTGTGAAATACATTGCCATGCCCCTTTCCTGCTCTCTGTTTGCAGCAAAATGAAGAATCATCAACTTTTCGGAGCTTGGCACGCATTTCAAGAATAGGTGCAAACAGAGGCTAATTGGGGCATCGTCATGGATTTCTGCGCAAAGGCAACCCGGGCATGCATCATTCATCATCCGGAATGGAATCAAGGCAGTCCCTGGCTTGCATGCCAGTTTATTTATTTTCTTAGTTAATTTGTTAATTAATTAGGAAGTTGTACATTATTTGGACTGTATTATTTGGACTGTAAATATCTTTTTATTCGGGACTGTATATTTATTCGGACCCTCTGCGCGAGGGCAATGCTATAATAAGTGTGGGTGAGTGTGATATATGTCTTCCAACCCACGTCTTTCTTCCCTTTTATTTACCTGCTTATGATGGTTAGATTAGGGCATATTTCAATTAACATACAGTATGACAGCATGTTTGCATCATTCATCTGTTTTGCATGCACCAGGCTCGGCGCATCATACTAACTGCATTGTATTTCAATTTCAAAGTTAAATACTTGTTAGCTTTTGCATCTCATATATGCCATGTTTAGAATAGCCGAGCCTGCTATAGTTGCATTTTTGCATGTATTGCATTAGGCATTTCTGTATACTTAGGATTCATGCATGACTTCTAATGAGTTTCTGTTTTGGCTTGGAGTACTCGGTGAGTTTTATGCTTTAGCATCCTTGCATGCGTGTGAGTGGCTGCCATGAATAGCATGCTTACCATGAGGCTATTTGCTTATGTGATATAACTGCCTGAATGCCTGTGGGTGAAGGTTGGGTTACTTGGATTGGAATAAATCATCAACTGTTTGTTTTAAGCCCACTAGATAGTGGCAAAACCATATTTTCTAAGCCCACCTGCGGGTGGCAAAATCTGTATTTTAAGCCTACTTGCGAGTAGCAAACCATCTTTCAAATAAACAACCATAAAATGTTTTGTTCCAATTCAGACGACCCAGTCTATACTTATATGCTGTGTTGCATCACATATTAACCTAGGCTAATAACCGGAATAAGGACACACAAAGTTTTTCAAAATAGATATCATGGTTAGTAGAGGCCGATCTTTGATCGGGCGAGCGGGGGTGCTCACGAAGTGACCTTCCCCAATCGTACCCAAGTTCTCGAGCCGAGGCAACTTTGGTGATGACGGACACGTGGCCTTTGGCACCGAGTCAGGGTTTCCTAAATTTTCCCAAAATAAAATATTTAGGTGGCGACTCTGTATCTGGCAAAGCAGTCCATGTTTGGCACTTCTTTTCAAAAATCTGTTTCTCAAAACGATTTGCCGGATTTGGACTCTTTGGTTCAGATTTAGAACCGTGACAAATTTGAGAGTCCTGAGCTGTAGTGACCCCAAATGAACAGAACGGGAGCTCATCCCTCCCGGGGCGTTCGGGGACGTCTACAAGGTGTAAGTGGATTCTCTTGTGTCTATCATCAATCAAGCATATATATATATATATATGTATGTATGTATGTATGTTACATTTATCCTTGATTCTGCAAAATTTAGGGTTCAAAAGTCTTCAAATTTGAGTTCTAAATCTATACTTTATCACTTGCAGGCAAGGTTTTGTAAGAGATTGATTGAGAATGGCAACTGAACCCAAGGCAGCAACTGAAGAGTCAAAAATCGACCTATTCGAAGACAAATTTCTCTGATATATGTTTAGGGACCTTAGACATCAAAAAATAATGTTGTGGATCTCTTCCATTACGAAAAGTGAGAGAGGGACCCTAGACTAATTTTTCCTTTTTTCATTAAATCTCAAAATACATATTTTTTTTTTTCATAGTACACCCTAATAAGTTATTCTTATTGTTATTCAAATCTCTGTATCTTCTTCCCTAAGAGATGAAAGTTATTTCTTCTTCTTCTTTTTGTTCTTCTTCTTCACCCTCCCTCCAAAACTCAAATCAATCCTACCAAAACTTACTATCATCATCAACATCATTATTTATTTTTTTTATTATTTTGAAACCTTAAACTCTAGAAGAAAATTTGAATAAAATCAAATAATAGATGAGAGTAATAATCAAAATAATTTTTTGAATAACCCATCAAAAAGGAGGTAAGTATTCATATAAATGAGTTTCACAATTTTTATAGAGTACCATCAATTATTTTCTATATCGTTTTTTGACAAAAATTAAAGGGCTCAGTAATTAAATCAATAATAACATATTACTGAAGTTGTTCTTATTTTGTCATTTAAATAGTACATTATTTGAGAACTACTCTTTATTGTTAGTGCCGGATGCTTATGTGCTTATAAATTAGGTTTTTACTTTTTTACGAGCATTCTTGTAGATAATTTATAATATAAAAGTTTTTTTTTCTCTATTGAAAAGTTTTATAATGCTTATATAAAAGTTTGTTTTTTTTTTTTTTTGTATTTATAATGTTTATGTGCTTATAAGTTTTTTTTTTCTCCCTATATTTGAGAATTATTTTTTGTATTGAAAAAATTTAATTTTTTAATTTTGTTTATTATTTATTATTTAAGCTTACCTTAAGGGTAATTTTAAAAAAATAATAAAGTGTAATAAGAATAAAATAAAATTTTAAATAATTAAATAGGATGCACTTAAAAATTAGAGTACTTAATCATTTTTTAGATGTAAATAGAATCCCCACCACAGAAGCATCCAATCGAGTTCAGCCTAAATCCGTAACAATCTTAGCCCAGCCCAAATCCGAAACATACCGACCAAGGCTCGAGTTGATATTAGGCCCATTCGATTATAAATTGTATCGCAAATCGCTCTCTCCAAACAACACTCGAAACCTCCATCCTTCTCCTTCCTCTTCCTCCTCTTCAGTGTAGTCAAGACTTTTTGTGGCGCAGACTCAGAGACTCTGAAGACTCTCTCACGGTCAACAATTCTCCATTTTCAATTCTAGGGTTTTCAAAATTTCTCAGCCTGTCACTCTTGTTTTCTTTTTTATTTTTCTTTTCTTTCCAGGGAATGGCCAGAAATTTCGGATTTCTGGTTCTGATACTATCTATAATATTTGTATGCGAAGCTGCGATTTTTCATCCGATCTCTGAATCTCACCGATCTGCTGCATTAGAGGTTTTCACGCCACTCGATGGATCCTTTGGAAGGTCAAACTAAACCCTAATTAAACCTCCTTTTCTTCATTGTATTTTTGTTTGATCTAGTGCTCCTTCATTTTTATTTTTATTTTGTTTGTCTATGTAATTAAAAATTTCCATGATCTTCGTTTGGTTCTCGAGAAAACGCACTATTAGAAAATAAATTGGATTGGCCCCTCCCAGTAATGTTGTTCTTCATAATAATTATAAAAAAAAAGAAATAGTTAGTAGATTCATTGGATTGTTTTAAAAACACCCAAGTCTTTTGTTGACTGTGTTGTCTAAGCAATCAAGTGTGGAAGTGTTGTTAGATGCTGGGTTAATTGAAAAAAGTTTAATTTGATGTCTAGTTTTGTTTCGTTTGGGTCTGGGTCTACAAGGATTTTATTAATTTCACTGATTACAAACAATGTGATCATCTGCTCACTTTGCTTGAATGTATGTCCCCATTGATGATTGATGTGGTCCGGGACATCAAAGAAAACGCTAACGGGTCAACTCTGCTAAACTCAGCTAAATTTATCTTGTTCAGCTTATGAATATAATGGTTTTCTTACAATATAACCACATCATAGTTATGTTGTTATCTGCATGGTGATGATTTCTGTCATGAATTGTTAAGTTGGTATCTATGATAGTTGGCAAATACATTATTTGATATGTTTTTTTTTGCGCTCTCCCCATTAAGCAGTAATATTTTAAATAAATTTATTTCATACATATAAATTATAATGCATTCACATCAAGCTTCAGCCAGTATTGTTGGCATTTGCACTAGTCCATTGAACTTGAATTGTGCAATTTTAAGGCAACCAATTATCTGATTTAATGTTATATGTATACAGCTTAGAAGAAGCATCTGAAGGTTTAAGAACATTTGAGATTCTTGGAATTGGGAACGAGCTTAACATAAGGGATTCTACTTGTCCCTCTGTGGTGGAGACTCTTGGGTCTTCGTCTTCAAGTTTAAAGGATCTGTTCTATGCACTGAGAGTCAACAAGCTATTAAAATGCGAGATTAATGAGGAAATCTTTGCGGTAACTTTAAGCTTTGGCATTGATTAGTTTCTTAGTTTGAAATTGTTTTCTATTTGAAATATCACCTACATGCTGAAATATTACATTGATCTTTGTCTTCTTTCTTGTCCAGGGCATTGCTGCAAGACTTAAAGTATCTGTCCATGAAGCAAATTCATTACTCGACTTCTACTATTCCGTAGGAAGTTTGAGGCTTATTAAGGTAATTAATACACTGGAACAACGATGTAATTTTTACCTCATTTTGAGTTAAGATCTTACCATGTTTCTGGTTCATACATGTGGCCTGTGAAGGAGTTTTCTTTTCGGTTATCATTATATGATATGATATACTTAGGCTGTTAGATAACATATTTCTTTGCAGTATCATACGTGTAGCCTTCGCTATCTTTTTTTGGGATTTTAATATAACCCCTGACCATTGTTTTCTTTCTATGATGTTGTTTGCAGGATCAAACTTCTGAAGTTGATGCGTTTCTCGTTGATGCTGATGGAATTTTCAAATCCATAAAGGTTGGTATCAATACTATATGGCATGATATTGGGTAATTTACTCATTCGATCGGTTTGTGTGTGTGTGGTGTTTGTGAGTACACGTTTCCATGTCTATCCTAGAGTACAAAACTTGTTTTGTGTATGCTTAAGTTTATGTTAAAATTTTTTGACAGGCACTCAGCCAAAGTGATGGAAGGTGGCGCTATAGTTCAAACAACCCTGCATCGAGTACTTATGCTGCTGGTAATGGTTTGTCTCTAATGTATATTATTATCAAGTTTTTCTAGTAGTGTTGACTACCATAATTTAACATCTGCCATAGGTTGTTCAAAATTTATAATTTCAGTATTTAGGTATTAATTTACCTAGTTTTTACCAATCTTGGGTTTGGTAATTCTTGCAGGATTAGCACTTGAAACACTTGCTGGAGTTGTCTCATTAGCAACTTCTGGGATTGATCAATCTCTGGTGAGTTGAGTTCTATTATAGTTTACGCTCTGGACAAATATGTGTATTCTAAACATCAGAACAGAGTTGTCCGTTTTAGAATTTATAAAACGAAGATGTTACATTCGTTGGTTCATCTCTCTTGATTTTAGGGGATTCTACAATCTTGTGCTTTGAGCTTTGTACTGACGCTTACCGTAAAGTTCTTTCATATTAAAATATGTCATGTGATGATATTAAAGTTGTACTTGTTTGAATTCCTGGCTATTTCTCATGAATGGATGACTGGTAGGCTTAGCTAGGACATTGTAGTTTTGCATGTGTTTTTATTCGGTAGAAACAATATCTAGATGTGGAAACTATATGTATATATATTAGCAACAAAGGAAATTTCTTAAAAATGAGAAAAATAGGAATACAATGGAGTTCAAAAAAGGGAGAAAATAAGCAAAAACAAAAATTACAAATCACAAATAGCTCTTCAATCTCTAGAAATAAAAAAAAAAAATACGAAAAGAGGACAAACAATAAATCCTAACCCATATTTCTTCTATATCTTGCCGAGTTTTTGCATTCCTTTGCAACAAAATCAACCAAAGCTCTGCATAAATTACAACTTCCAAGAACTTAGATCTTCTTAATTGACCGGAAACCTTTATAATCAACAATGAGCATATGCAACTGGAGTTGTTGCAATCTATGTCATAATGCCATAACCATAAGAAAATGCAAAAATAGTTCAAATCTAGATGGTCAATGACTCAATGCTCTCCCCACTCCCGTCACACACATAGTACACCACTGTGAAAGTGAACAACAATTGGGCCTCCTCCTGTGAAATATGCCATTACTAGTATTGAGTTTTCAATGAACCATAGACCACGCAAAAGGACGAGTTTAGGGGTCCAATGCTCCATCCTCAGTCACATTTTTTGTGTGGACCAACTTCTCATGAGAAGATCCTGTCTATTGGTAATTTGATTAGGACACATTCATGTGCGTATGTGTGTATCTTTGAAGGAAGAACTAAAAGGGAGAGCAAGACCCCAATAAAATGGTGGAAGGATTGAACTTTACATCTCCAAATATCCACCGAACATTTATTATTATTATTTTTTTAATACTAGGCTGTGCTTTTTCATTTATCTGCCTGTGGACTTGTTTAGATTTATGCTAGATCTTATCTTTTCAGACTTGGATCTTTTCGATTGCTGATGTTACTTCTGAAATGGTTGGATAAACTTTTTAAAGGTTTTTTGCATTTTTAGACCTGACAGTTGTTACTATTTCCAGATTGGAACGCTAAAAAATGATATAGTGAAGCTTTTTGACAGTGCTGAGAAATATGGTATGTGTATACATTGTTGTTTAACCCACTAAATTCTTCATAAATTGATTCTCATATTAACTTCAATGATGCACGTAAGATTTAAGTTTGTTTCTTTTTGTATGACATGCTTGCTTCACCAAAACCGCCACTACACTTGCATTCTTTATTATTTTTTTCCCTATAATCTTAGATTCCAAAAGAGTCTGGTTGCACCCATTAGTTAATGATTTGCCTTATGAAGTGTTAATTTGATGAATTCTATGTCTTCCTTTTTAGCTTTTTGAGGCCATACACATCCTAGAAAAATCCATTTTACATCTAAGGTTTGTACTAAGAAGAAACGCACATATCTTGGTTGATTATTGCCTTTTGGTCTAGTTAGTATCTTTTGGATGATAGTTGTAGTACTATGATTTTTCCCAGTTTTTAATATGTGCTTGCTGATCCTCTACTCAACTCAATGTGAAAATGATCATCTACTCAACTTGATGAGAAAACAAATGCTTACCCCAAATAGCATGATAATATGTCCTTCGATTGCATCTAAAAAATAAATAATCGAGTAAATATAAAATAAGAAATAAGGATTCTCTCATTAAATAATTCTACATTTTGGTTTGTTTTGTCATATTAGTTTTTTGGGGATAGTTTTAGTCGACTGTCTAGTGATAACTTTAGGATACTGATAGTTTGAGTGTGCACTTTAATTGACTGAATAAATAACTGAAGAATGTGAAACATCTAATCATATAACATTTCATTTTCTAATATCTATTGTTTTTATTTTTTATTTTTTATTTCATCTTATTCTGACTGTACCTCCTTGCCTACTGTAGATGATGGGGCCTACTACTTTGATGAGAAACTTGTTGATGCACCTGAACATCAGGGTCCTCTTTCAGCTACTTCATCAGTAGTTCGTGGGCTGACAGCTTTTCCAACATCTACTTCTGAAAGTTTAGATGTGCGCAGAAGAATCTCGTTTGGAGTGTATTAATGTTTTTATATTTGATCTGCTAAAATTATAGTCTAAAGATTTTTGTTTTGAATTTTTCAGCTGCCAGGGGCCAAAATATTGGGTTTGGCAAAATTTTTTCTTGGCATTGGAATTCCGGGCAATGCCAAAGACTTCTATAACCAAATTGATGCATTAGCTTGCTTGGAAAGCAATCGGTAACTACTTGAATGCCATTCTTTCTTTTTAGTGAATTGGAAAGCAATCGGTAACTACTTGAATGCCATTCTTTCTTTTTAGTGAACTATGTCTGTATCATGACACTAGATTGTGCAATTTGTGTATGATTGTGTGTGGACTTCATTTTAGTGGGTATGGCTATTTAACCTCTTGGAGATGCAACTTCTGTTGCCCGAGTATAATGCTTGCAATTATGTGTTTAGTATTTCTTTGAATATTTTTTTGGTTGAAACTAGGAGATGCAAAGAGCTAGGTTTGATAGCTTTTCCACCAAAATATGTCATGAAAATTAGTTAAACTGATTTACTTACTCCCTGCCCTGGAATTTACTGTTTTTTTAATTTTATGTTATATTTTTTAAAAATTTCTTCCAAAAATATCTGGTGCTTTTTTTCCTCTTTCTGTTACAGGGTTTCCATTCCTCTGATTTTATCTCTTCCAGCTACGGTGCTGTCACTGACTAGAAAAGACCGGCTCAAGGTGTTTCATCTCTGTTCATTTGTTTTTTTGTATTTTAAGAATGTGCTTTTATTACTTGTTTACTTTGATTGCCCTCACTCCATATGTTTTGGATATCCTGTATGGTGAGTTCTTTGTCAACATGAACGCACTCTCTTTTTTGGGTAGGTGCAGAATTGAGATATATGAATCTGGTTAGGACAATTTTTTTTGCGCATTCATTATGATAGGTCGGATTCATTATGATAGGTCGGATTAACTAAACCTCTTGGAAAGAATACAAACACATACCATATCACAAAAGTATAAATGTCAAATCCAATTATATGACTACCAACAGTAGAGATTGAGAAACAAAATTACTTGTTTTGAATGATTTTTGCAATTTTAGCAACAGAAGTCCATATTTTAGGGTGCCAGATCCTTTAAAAAAAGGGTCAGTCATGTCCAGGCTTCTTGATATCTGGACGTCTTTAATCTGGTAATGTGCAAAGTCAGCCCCCCACTCATAGATAACCCTCTTCTCCGGAGGTAGTTGAATTCCATTAAGTTGCTTTTAACTCTTAGCTCTCAAGTTTTGATCTACCACTCCCAAGATCTAGTTTAAAGTTTAGCTTATATGGCTAAATACTAATCAGTATAATATTGTGCTTATTAGGTTAGGGTGAATACTGTACTGGGATCTGCAGCGCCGTCTCTATCAGTAAAACTCAAGCAAGCTTTCAGTTCTGGTTCAAAGGATGCTTCTATAATTGAGAGCCAGGTGCTGCGTGGGACTCTTTTGTTTTTTATCAGATGCTCATGACCTTAATTTGTCTAACTTGTATCCTAATGATCTTGTTATTTGCCTTGATGCAGGAACTCAAGTTTGATCAAGAAAATGATGTCCATTTCTTGGATGCATGGCCAAAGAGTGTTGACGTAGGCAATTATGTTTTTGTATTTGAGGTAATTGTATTTATTATTGTCATTTCCTACTGATCTAAAGGTCCCCGTGTTTTTCCTCTCCTACTCACTATCTCCTGTGTCAAAGAGGCTGATCTTCGTCTGTTTTCTATGTGCATCCTCTTTTCCTTTTTCATCCTTTTTTTGGTAGATTGTGCTACAAGATTCGGAGCATAAGAAAATTTATGCCACTGGAGGCCGAACAAAAGTACCAATATATGTCACTGGAGTTATCAAAGTTGACAATGCAGAAATTGCAGTACTGGACAGTGATATTGGGAGCATAGAATCTCAGAAGAAGTATGCCACTTACTTTTTCCTTTAACCTGGATTTGCTTACATTTTCCTCCATTTTTAGCTTAGTTCCCTGTTATTTTCCATTGACTTGCTTGAACCAATTCTCTTAAATGCTGTTGTTGCTCAATTACACCTTCCATAGAACACTGATATCTCTCCCTACTGATTTTTTTTGAGGTTTAGGATTAAGACTTTTCAAACTTCGAATGTGATATTTGGTGTGAGAAAAATGCTTCTATTACGATCAACAGAAATACGACTTATTGATCTTTATGTGTTATTTTTCTGTATTAATGATGTTATTCATTACATTTTTTACTTTAGCAGATTAAAATTTACATCATGCTATGCTTTTTCTTCAGGCTAGATTTAGCTAGAGAGACTGCTCTTTCGTTATCAGCAAACCATCTACAAAAGCTGCGTTTATCATTTCAATTGACCACTCCACTTGGGCATCCATTTAAACCACATCAGGTTTGTATTTTGCTTTTGGTTTGTCTCTTTAATAATGTTCTTCTGATATCAAGGTTGTTGAGAACTTTGTTTGCCTGCAGGCTTTTCTCAAGTTGAAACATGAGACTAAAGTTGAGCACATCTTCGTCTTGGGGAACTCTGGTAAACAGTTTGAGATAACACTAGTAAGTTCCTCTGATCAATCAAAACTTAAATTTCATTTCCTCCTTGTTAGGATCTACAGAAGTTGATCAATTTAGCAACTCACAGATCTATAGGACTTTGTAACAAGACTTCAACATGGGTTTATTGATATGTTGCAATGCAATCTAGTCTGATATACTAATGTTAAAAGAAAATTAATTATGAATTGAACAAGATAGTTACCTGTTGGTGATGGTTAGATGTAGTAGTTTCCTTATATATGTGGCATTTGGTCTTGAAGGATTTTCTTGGACTGGTTGAGAAGTTTTTCTATCTTTCCGGTAGATATGATATTCAACTTACTGTTGGTGATGCTGTCATGGTAAGCACTACTTTTTTTTCCATTGAATTCTATTATTTATTTATTCATTCATTTGTACTCACATTTTAGGTTTATTTCTCTCTAAATCTCTCTCTTATTTTTTTTTAATAATTATAATCTTTTGTTTTCAGGAGAACTCTTACTTACGAGAACTGGGACATATTGAATTAGATCTTCCAGAACCACCTGAGAAGGCTACCCGCCCTCCTCCACAAGCTGTTGATCCTTATTTGAGATGTGGACCCAAAGCTGAGATAACTCATATCTTCAGGTCTCCAGAAAAGGGTCCACCTCAGGAGCTCTCTCTTACCTTTTTGGCCCTTGTTCTCTTGCCATTCCTTGGATTCTTGGTTGGGGTGAGTCTTTGGTCCAGAGATCCTTACTGTATTTTCATTGAGTACAGACATTTTTGAATACTAGATTGTTTACGCTGCTGAATAGTAGTTTCTGAAAACACTTTGTGCCTGATAAATTGGCTGTACTAAGTTCATTTGCACATTTACTGTGTTCCCAAATGTGAATTTGGAACAATAGTGATCCCCTCTTCCCAAAACATTAAAAAAAAGAAAAGAAAAGGGAAAAATAGCTATTTCTTTAATTCCCTTGGGAAGGAAATATAATCAAGTGGTTGAAATGTCTTCATTAATTTGTCATCTAACTCTAAACCCAGCTATTATGTTGTTTGTGGTTACTTGTGTGCTGGGTTTTGAAGGTACTGATTTTCTCTCATTAGTAGTTCTTCTTGACGGACAATTGTGCGTACCAACTACTTTAAATGTCCAAACTGTTGTCCGGACATTTACTTATTGCATACTTCTTGATATCTTTGACAGCTATTGCGTCTGGGCGTGAACCTGAAGAACTTCCCTACATCAACAGTACCTGCCACATTTGCCATTTTGTTCCATGTTGGCATTGGGGCAGTTCTCTCGCTCTATGTGCTTTTCTGGTTAAAGGTCTGTCTCTTACTTTGCATTGCACTTGTCCTTTCTTGGACCCTTGACTGCCCGCCAGCAGACTTGCCACTAGAAGTGTACCCATTGTTGCATGGCAGTAAAGGGTAGCATTGACTTCTTGAGTAAATTTCTAAAGAGTTGGATATTAAAATCATTTCCCTCCCTGCCAGTTGACTGTTAATATTGTTATTTCTCTGCAGTTGGATTTATTCACAACGTTGAAAGCGCTTGGTTTCTTGGGGATCTTCTTGATGTTTGTTGGACACAGGACCCTTTCTCACCTTGCCTCAACATCAGCCAAGTTGAAATCTGCCTGAGGAAATGAGAGTTTGTGGAGAGTTTGTGCTTGCAAGGACAACATTCCTCCCTCCCCCCTAAAGAGAGATGTGGTTGGTCATCTTAATTCAATTTTGTTGTAGGATGCTAACTGTTCAGTGAAGTTTAGCACACACAATCACATTGAATGAAAACACACATCCACTCCGTTCTTTGCTTTCTATCCATGATGAGGACGAACCATCCTTACAGGTTTTTAGAGAATAGCATTAAGGATAGTGGCCCCTATAACGAACTTGTTATATTCACTTTGGTGACTTGTTGAATCTTGTTTCTCACGAGTTGCTTGAACTTGTTGCTTGAGAAATTTTGCCTTGAATTTATTTAGGAACAGTATGTTAAAAGAACGATAAATGATGGAATAGCAGCTCGTGTAGAGTTAATAAGATTGTAGTGATGGTGTGTAGTTACTTTGGGCAATTTGACTATGCTTTTGCTTCACCAAGAAGACCCCCACTCAATTATTTTAATGATCATGACTATGGCTTTATAAAACACTTTTTATGACCCTATGTTGTGGTATCTAGGCTAGCCTTTATTTTAAAGCTAGCGTTTGCATTATTATTATCCTTTTCTCCCCCTTATCACATGCTTGTTTAGTTTAACCACCTCTTGGAACAGGAACCTACTAAATACTTGTCCCACCTGTGATTTGATTACTTCAAAATTGTTAAGCACGTTTAACTGGCTGTCATGCACATTTTGTTAGGGACTTGAGAAAAGGGGATTAAAAGAATATATTGGGGGTGGAGGGTTTGTCAATTGCCTTTTGTAGCTTTTATATATGTATATATATATATATATATATTTAGATTCTAAGAAGGTTTTTGCATTTGGTAATTGTTAAAAAAGTTACTTTTTTTGTGGGAGGGAGTTGATTTTTTTTTTTTTTGTTTTTTAATTTAATTTCTGCTCTTTTAGTTATTCCTGGATAGGCTTTTGCTTTTCGAAAAATATATATATATATATAATTTTTTTTTTTAGTTCTTCCCAAACACGGCGGCCATGAGGATGTATGGGTAATGGATTTTTGGGAAGATGGTTAAAAATTGATTTTTTGGTTTTTTTTACTTTTTTTGCTGGTTTATGTGAGGTAATGTGACTTAAAATGGATTAAAAATTAACTTTTAACTTTTTATGCATGTTGTCAAAACAGCCTAGAGATGTTTTCAAGGTATATTCGTTGAGGTTTTGTTTTGATAATGGATTGGAGGACAAATGAAAAATGAAGGGAAAAGTACATAAAATAGGAGTTTAAATTTCTTATCCCACCTTTTTTTTCTTTTGTCTTTTACCCCCTCAAAATCTTCTCAATTTTTTTAATATATATAATATAAAAAAGGGGGAATTGAGTAGTAAATTTCATTTTGTGAACTTATAATTCATAAGGTCTCAAATGCTTTCTTGGTGACTGGATGATTCCTTAATTTGTTTGTTGATTGTTTTGCCACTGTTAGTATTATTGGTTGATAGTTGGCGTGGGTTTGTATAAGAGAAGGTGGATGGGTGTTTGTGTGTCATGTTGGTCGGGAAAACGTACTAATACCTTTTTTAATTTAGTAGGTTTGTAATACACCCAGAATGGAATGTGGGTTATGTCGTAAGTGTTGTTTCGTGTGTGATGTGAACACGTGCAATAAGGCACACTGAATTGGTTTCGGATTTCTGTTTCGAATTTCTCACAACTCAACCATTTTTTTTCGATTGCCGTTGCCGTGGGTTTTGAAATTCAAATACCTATGATCGAATCCCACAAACGTGATTTATGGGATTGTATTCGAAATAATTTTCAGATCAATTTGGTGTGAGTGTGTTGGGGTTGGGGTGATTCTTGTGGTGTGAGAAACCCACCAACCCGGAAAACGAACCCTTTTCATCTAAAAAACCCAACTCGGTGGAATGTTCCCACACATTGGCAATCATACCTATTTTGGAAAGACGAATCGGTGGTGCATGTGGATGTGAACCTTACCATTTGTTACTATTATCCCCTTTCTAATTTGAGTTTCAAATATTCGTGATTCCGAAACCCACGTTATAGATTGAGGGAATATTTAACGCAATGTTGGTGTGAATTAGAATCTCTGTGTTGTTCAATTTTGTTGAGTTTGTGGTTGTAAAGAACCCTAATACCTTCTTGGAACAGTGAGTTTTGCACTGTGAACCTTGCCGATCAGATTTGAGGTGCATTGTTGTTGGTTGCAAAGTCTTAATCAGTGTTTGGAAAATGTAAGTTGTTCATTGTTGGGTTCATGTTATAGATGGAATAAGTGGTGTGATTCCGAAATCCACGTTATAGATGGAGTGAGTGGGTTCACGTTACAGTTGTTCATTGTTGCGTTTACGTAAGTTGTTCATTGTTGGGTTCACGTAGTGTTGGTGTGATTTCGAAACCCACGTTATAGATGGAGGGAGTGGGATTGATGTCAACTACAACACTGTTGGGCTACCACACAGAAAAATGGACTCAGAATGAAATCTCTACTTGGAAAACTTTATAAATGAATTTTCACCACTCCTACCCCTACAAATCTTGGGATTACACATACCTAAAATAAAATAGAACATTCCATAAATTATGTGAGGGTATATTTGTCCAACATACAACTATTTACATTCAAAAAAGGACTTGTCAGTAAGCAATCCCCTCTCACATGGACTTTTCAATGAAACAAAAACTCAGTAGGATCGAACAAAACACAATTTAGCCATTTAAGACTTTCCGATAAATTTTCCATTAAAAAAAAAAAAAAGTCCTGTCACGACCCAAACCCGGCCCTATGGGTTTAGCACCGTAACCGGCCAGTAATCCGAGATTACCGATGGCCTGCAGAACAGTAATCCAGTAAAACAGAGTACAGGGCCTGGCGGAAGCCAATACAGTAAATAAACAATGCCCAATGAGCTGTGACAGTCTATATGAAAAAGACTTTTCATACATTCATACATAAACGGTACAGAACAGTATGCACAATATTTACAATCATTCAGACTAGGGACTCAACCCTATAAAGCAGTACAGTAAACAGTCAGTCTATACAGAACAGTAAGACGGTGCAGAAGGGGAATTGTAAAACACCCCTAAGCCTTAACACGATAGGCTCGGAACCTCGCAGTGAGGCACATAGGCTGGCTTGACAAAACTGGAGTAACCCTGACGCCTCTAGCCGCGGTCTGGTGCCTGTACACCTACATATATATATATATATGAGCAGTGAGCTAAAGCCCAGTGAATAACATAATGCATGAAGAGGTTAAGAATGAATGTCTTTACAGTATGAAAACAGTTCATTTAAACAGTATTCAGTCATTCAGTCAGTACAATCATATGTGGTACACCCATTAGCATAATAGTACAGTAAACAGTAGGTCTTAAAAGACCGAACAGTAATGATGGCCATTAGTCAGTAAACAGTAGTGGTTCCAACGAGGGAACCGACAGAGAATTCTGTTGCAGTAACAGTAAACAGTAGGTGCTAAGGATGCCACAATACAGTTCAGAATATAGGACATACATTCATTCAGTTAACAGTAATCAGTTCAGAAAACAGTACAGTTCAGTTGTTCAGAAGATAATCATTTGTGAACATATCTTTACACAATCGTTACTCACAGAGTTTGGGCTACAGTATGCTAGAGCGTCTCCTCAGTCGCCAACCCTACACAGGTAACAGATTGAACACACTAAGCTACACAACTGGAAAAGATAATAACTTAATTCCTAATGCCTCGGTGTGTTCTACATCTATAGCCTCGTTAAGATGTCTTAAACTAGGCCTAAGAACGCCTAGAATGGGATGAGGATGCAAAGATGCACTTTTAAAAGCAGTTTCAGATTTTTCAGAAAACAGAGTCCCGCTCGAGCGTAGGTAACTCCGCTCGAGCGGACATGCAGACAAAGGCACCCGCTCGAGCGTAGAATTACCCGCTCGAGCGTTCTGCAAAACAGTCAAAAGTGCTGGATGGGTGAAATCTCCGCTTGACGGACGCTCGACGCCCGCTCGAGCTTGAGACACGTGATTCCGCTCGAGCGCCCAATCCTCTACTCGAGCGGACTGTAAAACAGTGCAGAGATACTGGATGCTCGGATTCCACGCTTGAGTGTCTCTATCTCCGCTCGAGCGGGAGTGCGAAATCTGGAAATCCCAGATTGCACCTCTAAGCTCAAACTCAAGTTCAAAAGCATCAAAACCGATCCTCTTGGTTTAATTTTCTGGAAAACATTTAAAAACACATAGAATAACATGGTTCAAAGCTCAATTTGAGAAATCATGCCCAAGGGTGGTTAATTCAAACTCAATTTCAAACCATTTTTCAAGAATATAAAGAACATGCAAACATGCATGAATTCAAATCATTTTGAAGCTCTACTTTGATGCTCTAAGGAGCCAATTGTTTCCAAAACATGATGAAATCATGGATTTGAACATAATTGTGAACATGCATGCAGCATTTTGCCATGAACTCAACTCAAACTCCAACAACACTAACATGCATGCAAGAATTATGCTCTAATTCAACAACAAAGAACCAATTCTAGACTTGAATCACTAGAGGCTCAAGAATCTTGCATGAATAAGCTTAAACACAACAAAGAGGGGTTGAATTCCTTACCTAGAGCTTTAGTTACAAGGTGAGGAAGCTTAATTTGCAACCTATGTTCCAATTCCTTCAATTTCCAAGCAATTTATAAGCAAAATGAGATGAAATTCACTCCTCTAGTTCCTCTCTCTATGGTCGGCAAGAGCAAGAAAATGGCTGATGAATTGTGTGCTTAAGTGTAACATAAGGCTCAAATATGTTATTTTGAGTGGGCCACTTAAGGGTTAGTTTGGTAAATAAGGCCAACTCTTTAATTAGCTTATTTTAATCTAATTTAATCATACCTAATCAGTTTTCAGATAAATATACCATAAAATCACATTAATTATGATGATCATAAAACATCAACCAGTTCCGGCTTCGGCCGCCGATAAGGCCTTCAATTAGCAGTTTAAACAAAACACGTGAACAGATCAAAGAAACAATCAAACAGATAGAATACCAATTAACACACATACTCAGTCAATTCAGTTCCAGTTTTCAGTCAGTCAGTTCAGTATTTTAACCAGTCCAATTATCAGTCATAATTAGTTCAGTTTAACGGTAATCACTGTTTATCGGTACTCAATCAGTCATTAATCGGTAAACAGTATGAGGGTTGTTACAAGCCCCCCCAAAAAAAAAAAAAACAATACAGAGCACAAGTTTTGAGTGTTTGTGTGTAGTTTTGTATTGATCTGTGTGTATCGTGTAATCCTTGCAGGGTGGAATAAATCGTCACCTTGCCATGGATGAGCAGTACTACTGTGGGATAAGGAGATTGTTCTGATAACTACATAATTACATTGTGTTGCTTAAAACTCTATACTATGATATTTCTAGGAATAATAGAGTTTTGAGGTTGCTTAATTGTGGAAATTATTTTGAGAGGTGTCACTCTCAATAAACGAATCCA